TGGGAAATGTTACCTGAGAGAAATTTCTTTCACTATCACAATAAGCAGAAGGAAGCTAACGAATCCCAACCACCACCTAGGGAGAAACGTGACATGTGTGATATGAATTGGTTTTTACAAAAATCTTCTGAGACTGTTTTCTTGTTGTCCTTTCTCAGTTACGGAAACCGAGGTTCACTAGTTTAGGCACCCTTGTTCATGTTCACAACTGGTACAACCAGGCGCAGAATCTGTGCCTGACTCTAAATACCACACTCTTTCTATAAAATGTTGCTATACCCACTCATTACATTCTTTCTGATAAAAATGGATCTCTTGAAGTATTTAGGATAAAAGGTTTTAAGCTACCCTGACTCCTTCTGTTGGTAAACAACAAAAAACAAAAAACCCACAAAAAACTTATTTTTACCTGATTTTTTTTTTCATTTGACTGGAAAGCAATTTCGCACAACCTGTCTCCCCAGTTGGTGGAGGAGGTGAAGGACATAGATGTTAAATTATCTGGTGCTGAAGCAAGAAAGAATGTCTAAGGAAAGTTAAAAGTTTGCAGAATAGTGTTAATGATAATTTTCTTTAGGAAAACATGATGAAACTGGGAAAAAAAGAAATTAATTTAAGTAAGAACATTGGCTCTCCACTTCCTGTATTTAAAAAAAATACATTTTAATTTTGTAAGTTTTCTTAATAATGAATCTATATTCTGAGACTAACCTTTAATGCCTTATGGGAAAGATGGATTTTTGTCAAACTGCTAGAACCTTATCAAACTAGACATAATATAAAAGTAAATTAAAGGCTACTTGTCCTTTCAGAGGAAATGATTCTAGATTCTGCTGATTATTGAAAGAATATATTTTTGTAAAAAGGAAAACTTATAAAATTTTGCTAAAGCACTTGAATATGTTAATATCTTGCTCAGTATAAATTGCCAAATTCTGACTCTCTACTGTGCTTTGCGTAAAAATATGATACTTCTGAAGACACTGAAAGGCCAAAAAATATGTTGAAAATTAAAAGGAGCTTCACTCTCCCTGGCTTCAGAGCCTACCCCTACAGCTGCTAGAATAATTTTCTTTCGACAATAGAAAGAATAGAAAGTGTCTCTGTTGCTTTTGCATGTCCCATCACTGCACACACATTTTTACAAAAACAAAACAAATTTCTAGTAAATGACATTGATAAATGATAACATCCAAAATAGATATTTGATTTGAAGATGGGAATTAGGGTATGTGTAGAATTGATCAAATATAAATAAAACTGTACTGACTCAGATGATTTTGAAGCATTCAGGAATTTTATCTTAACTTCTCATTAAGGAACTACTCTGCATTTGAATTAACATTCTGCTACAGAATAATGGAAAGTTTATAATGTGAGTTTAACTTTGCTGAGAAAAAAACCATCATCCCACTGAGATGTTAAAGGAGAATTCATTTGGTATTGTTCTTACACAAAAGAATCCTATTTCCTATAATTTATTTATTAACAACCTATGAAAATGTAAATTATCAGTTACATGCAAGTTAGCACTTCAGAAAAAGAAATAAGGAAGTTAGACATGGGCTTTGGTGGTTTTATTTCATTGGAACTTTTCCCAAGTTTGCCTAGTTAAAATATTTTCCTAAGGGGCTTTTCGGATATAGGAGAAAATTCAAATGAAGAATTGTATTTTATTTTTTATTATGGTGTTTTCCACTTTAAAGATATTAAAATATACTGCACAATGATCCAAGGTAATATTTTGTAAGACTGGCAAGCATAACATTTGAATTAACTTATCTGATTATATTATTACAAGGCTTATTTTCCACTTTAAAATATATCATTAAAAATGTGTGTGTGTAACATACATATGTGTTCCTCACAATATCCTTGACAGTCTCTGAGCTTTAACTCTCACATGTGTAATTTAAGGTTCTTTTGTTTCAAACTAGAGAAACTCTGACTTCAAGAATTGATTGGAGAGACACTGGGTTACTCACATCAAATATATGGAACTTGCAGAACATGATCAAATGTAAGGACCATGGCCTCCCCAGGACTATGCAGGCTTGAAGTTCAAATTTCAGCAACAGGGTGTCCAGTTAGCCTGCTTTGGATCACATGGTTGCCTCTTGCCTAGAACAGGCCAGGGCACTTTAGATCAAACTGGGTCCAATGAGGAAAGGGTAACTTTCCTAAAGCATACCCAGGTGCTATTCCAGGGGGCTGGGGGGGAAGGAATGGTTATTTGGAAACGAAGAAAGGAATGGGCTGATGTTTATTGTTGCTTAGACATTTTGGAAAACAAGTGGGTATTCATCTAATAATTGTTGTGCTGACTTAGGCAGCACATATACTAAAATTAGAATGATACAGAGAAGATTGGCATGGCCCCTGAGCAAAGATGACACATGAATTGGTGAAGCACTCCATGTTTTTTTTTTTTTCTAATTTAAAAAAATTTTTGTAAAATTGAATTATTGAGTTGGGAGGTCATATGTCTTTTTAGATATGATTTCACTTATGACTGAGCTACATTAAAAGTATTAATACATGAGGGGCGCCTGGGTGGCTCAGTGGGTTAAGCCTCTGCCTTCAGCTCAGGTCATGATCCCAGGGTCCTGGGATCGAGCCCTGCATCGGGCTCTCTGCTCAGTGGGGAGCCTGCTT